CGGTGGCCAGAAGCGGCCACTGCACTCCAGTCTAGGTGACAGAGTGAGACTCCAACTTTAAAAAAAAAAAAAAATTAGCTGGGTATGGTAATGTGCACCAGTAGTTCCAGATACTTGGAAGGCTGAGGCAGAAGTACTGCCTGAGCCCAGCAAGTTGAGGCTGAGGTGGCCGTGAGCATGCCACTGCACTCCAGCCTGGGTTACAGAGTGAGACTCCAACTCAAAAAAAAAAAAAGTTTATGTAGAATTTGTTTTAAATAAAAATTCATATGTAGTAATTTAAAAATTGTTTATGTAGTAAGAATTTGTATGTCATAAAAATAAAGAATATGACATTATATGGATGCAGAGCGGTCCTAGGTATGTTAAAAAATAACTCTGGCCAAAAAAAAAAAAAAATCATACCGAAATTTGATTAGATGTAGTGTTGAGGGTAAGAATATTGGGAATGTTTATGCTTTCTGGTATTTTTCTTGTTTTTTTTTTTTTTTTACTAAGATCATCATGTATTCCTTTTATGATTAAAAAAAATCATAAAATTTGCCATTGCCATTCACAACCCAAGAAAGGCTGACATAATTGCATACACTTTGACATTGGTTACAAGGAGGCATATGGTTTTGATGAAGGTAAGAGACACACAAGTGTCCAGTCCTTGCTGGAAATGCCTGGTGAGGTCAGTCTGAGCTAATTCATGCTCTGAAGCCCACGGAGTGGCAGCAGGGACATTCCTGCAGGAAGGAGAGGGCAGGAAACTTACCTCCTTAGCAACCATCTCATCTTGGAAACTGTCCATGGTCCCTACCCTCTCACTCCAACCTACCCAGCTGAGTCAGTCATTGCTTTGTCTGTCCTTTCATGCCCTTGTTTTGTGAAATGTTTACTAACAAAGCAAGTAGAGCTACATTTACAAGCAAAGCAAGTAGTGCTATGTTAAATAGAGCTGTGGGGGTTATTTGGAACTGGTGCAGATATGAAATGACACTCCCTATTATCTCTTTTTTCTTTGCTTGGTTTTTCTCCCTAACACTTATCACCACCTACCAGACTGTACTTTACACTTTTTTATTTTGTCTCTTATCTGTCTCCTGTCCCTATAATGTCAGTGCTTCAGGCAGGGATGTTTTGCTGTCTTGTTTACTGATATATCTCCAGTACCTAGAAGCATCCAGAAGGCACTCAGTAGAGATTTGTTATCCAGATTAGTGTGTGTATTACATCGTACCATAGTCAAGTGTTCAAATGTCTCTGCCACCATGAAGCTTGTGAGCTTGGTGGCAACAGGGCTGCTTCTTCAGTTTTTTTATTTCTCAGTGCTTAAAAACAAGCATTTTGTAGCTTTCCCACATTAGATTCTCAGTTTATGTTTGTGGTATTAGATAATTAGATTGACTTATCAATTCATTCCTTCCTGAGGGCCTACTATGGGGCCTGGCTTGTAACAGGATTTCTCATTTTGGGATCCAAGGTCGGCTTGCATCAGATTCACCTGGGAGGCTTATTAACTCATGATGCAGATTCTAAAGCCCATTCTAGATCTGCTGAATTTTGTGTATGTGCTTGTGTGTGTGTGTGCTTGTGTGTGTGTGTGTGTGTGTGTGTGAGAGAGAGAGAGAGAGAGAGGGAGGGAGAGGGAGAGTGGGGGAGAGAAAGAGAGGGGGAGAGAGGAAGAGAGAGAGAGGAAGAGAGAGGGAGAGAGAGGGAGGGAGAAGGGAAAGGGAAAGGGAAAGGGAAAAGGAGGGAGAGGAGGGAGAGGGAGGAGGGAGAGGAGGGGCTTGCTTGGGAATTTGCAGTTTCAGTAAGTTTTCCAGGTGATTCTCTCTCTCTCTCTTTTTTTTTTTTGAGTTGTAGTCTTACTTACTCTGTCACCAGGCTGGAGTGCAGTGGCATGCTCATGACCACCTCAGCCTTGACCTACTGGGCTTAGCAGATCCTTCTGCCACAGCCTTCCAAGTAGCTGGAAGTACAGGCACATGCTACCACACTTGGCTAATTTTTTGACTTATTGTAGAGATGAGGTCTTACCATATTGCCCAGGCTGGTCTGGAACCTCTGGGCTCAGGCAGTTCTCCTGCTTCAGTCTCCCAAAGTGCTGGGATTACAGGCTTGAGCCACTGCGCCCAGCCTTTCCAGGTGATTCTGGTGGACACCAAAGCTTCTAAAAAGGTCCTGGGATACAGAGATAATTAAGAAGGAATTGGCTGGGTGCAGTGACTCTTGCCTGGAAGCCCAGCACTTTGGGAGGCTGTGGAGGGAGAGTTGCTTGAGTCCAGGAGTTCCAGACCAACCTGGGCCACATAGTGAGACCTTGTTTCCAAGCACTTCAGATAAGAAATATTCAGACCAGGTGTGGTGGTTCACACCTGTAATCCCAGCACTTTGGGAGGTGGAGGCAAGAGGATTGCCTGAGCCCGTGGGTTTGAGACTAGCCTGGACAATATGGCGAGACCTCGACTCTACAATAAGTCAGAAAAAAAAATTAGCCAGGCATGGTAGTGTGTGCCTGTAGTTCCAACTACTTGGAAGGCTGAGGTGGAAGGATCACCAGAGCCCAGCAGGTTAAGGCTGTGATGGCCGAGAGCGGCCACTGCACTCCAGTCTGGGTGACAGAGCGAGACTTCAACTCAAAAAAAAAAAAAAAAAAGAGAAATATTCAACCTTTATCATATAATTTACTAGTATAATTTTATTATGTAAAATGTTATGTTTTATAGTAGAATTTAAAAAGGTAATTCCTTCTGTGATAACTCGTTTATGGCTAAAAGGAGTACGCTGATTAGTACTAGTTGGTGTGTGTACTGCTTTTGCTGCTGATTAAATTGGTTTTGAGGCTAGGTTGTTTTTTTTTTTTGAGCTGGAGTCTCACTCCATTGCCCAGGCTGGAGTGCAGTGGCACGCTCACGGCCACCCCAGGGTTGACCTGCTGGGCTCTGGTGATCCTTCTGTCTCAGCCCTCCAAGTAGCTGGAACTGCAGGCGTGCGCTACCACACCTGGCTAATTTTTTATTTTTATTTTTTTTTGAGTTGGAGTCTCACTCTGTCGCCCAGATTGGAGTGCAGTGGCCGTTCCCGGCCACCGCAGCCTCAACCTGCTGGGGATCCGGTGATCCTTCTGCCTCAGCCTTCCGAGTAAGTCGGAATTACAGGCGCGCGCTACCACGCCCAGCTGATTTTGTTTTTGATTTATTTTAGAGATAAGGTCTCGCCAAGTTGCCCAGGCAGGTCTCGAACCCGCGGGCTCAGGCAATCCACCCACCTCAGCCTCCCAAAGGCGCGGGATTACAGGCTGAGCCACCGAGCCTGGCTTAATTTTTTATTTTTTGTAGAGACAAAGTCTCACCACATTGCCCAGGTTGGTCTTGAACCCAGGGGCTTAGGCGATCCACTTGCCTTGGCCTCCCAAAGTATTGGTATTACAGGAATATCAGAGTCTTGGTCTTTTCTTCAAAATGTATTTGACTAAAAGTGGAAGGACCTTCATGTTGGAAAGGCCATATCCTCGCTCCTATTCTTTAGAAAGTTTAGTCTCAAGAAGGAAGGTTGTGGAACATTTTAAAAGTAACTGTTATGAGGACTGACCAGATAGATGAGTTGCTTCTCTTCCTTACCCCCAACGGGTGGCCCAGCACTGGAACTGAGCTCACATCCGCTCCTTTCCCTCTTCCTCGACTGTCCTGTCCCCACCACTGCCATCTCTCAC